CATTCCGATCTCCCCGCCCCAGTCCGAGCTCCCCGACCCAGTCCTATCTCTCCGACCCAGTCCGATCTCCCCGACCCAGTCCGATCTCCCCGACCCAGTCCGATCTCCCCGCCCCTCACCCACCATGACGGTGATCAGAGGCCTCCGGTACTTTACCTTCTCCTGAGGCTGAAACTTAATCTCAATGTTCTTCTTTTGCCCGGGGAGCAGGACGTCATGTGGCGGCATCACCTCAAAGATGGCTGCTTTGGGTTTGACTTCCTGTCGCAGTTTCTTGCGGAGGTGCATGGGGATGTGCTTGTCTACCTGCAATAGGCAGAGCGGACACGGGTAGAACATGTCAGTGTGGGACACGTGTTCTCCAGGAGGTCACAATGTCATGTATGGGGAGGCTGTCTCTGCCCGGACAGAAGGTCGGATCTCTGGCTGTGAAGATGCGGTTACCTTGGTTTCCGTCTCCTGGGGGACGGCGGTCCACTCGCAGGGCACGGGGAGCTGGTTCTGGAGCTGGATGGACCGGATCTGACACTGACCGCACTGCACGCTGCTGAACTCCACCCGTTCCTCTGACACACACAATGACGGCATGGTCACAGAGGCCCGGAGACGTAGCGGAAACCTGGGGCCCCCGCATACCTGCCAGGAGACACATCTGGGGTCAGCGAGGGGATGGAGATGACGGTTACACGTGACACATGAACGATGACAAACTCACCTGAATCGGCATCACAACGTCTGCAGGGCCCAGATTGGTGCCGCCGGACTGAGGATCAAACTTCACCTGGAAGGTTTCTGTGTGCCAGCTCGGCAGATTCCGGACCCGATCCAACTCTACAGAGAAGCCTGAGCAGAGGAGACACGGACAGGACACGGACTATGACGTCTCTGCACACACAGGACACGGACTGTGACGTCTCTGCACACACAGGACACGGACTGTGACGTCTCTGCACACACAGGACACGGACTGTGACGTCTCTGCACACACAGGACACGGACTGTGACGTCTCTGCACACACAAGACACGGACTGTGACGTCTCTGCACACACAGGACACGGACTGTGACGTCTCTGCACAGACAGGACACGGACTGTGACGTCTCTGCACACACAGGACACGGACTGTGACGTCTCTGCACAGACAGGACACGGACTGTGACGTCTCTGCACACACAGGACACGGACTGTGACGTCTCTGCACAGACAGGACACGGACTGTGACGTCTCTGCACACACAGGACACGGACTGTGACGTCTCTGCACAGACAGGACACGGACTGTGACGTCTCTGCACACACAGGACACGGACTGTGACGTCTCTGCACAGACAGGACACGGACTGTGACGTCTCTGCACACACAGGACACGGACTGTGACGTCTCTGCACAGACAGGACACGGACTGTGACGTCTCTGCACACACAGGACACGGACTGTGACGTCTCTGCACAGACAGGACACGGACTGTGACGTCTCTGCACACACAGGACACGGACTGTGACGTCTCTGCACAGACAGGACACGGACTGTGACGTCTCTGCACACACAGGACACGGACTGTGACGTCTCTGCACAGACAGGACACGGACTGTGACGTCTCTGCACACACAGGACACGGACTGTGACGTCTCTGCACAGACGGTCTTTCTCTGGAATGGGACTGACGGTGTTACCTGTGCCTGGGAGTCCACGTCTGTCCGCCTGGAAGGACACCGGGAAAGGTCCCGTGTTGGAGATTTTGATGACGTGTGACCGGATCTCGCCGAGGATGACGTAGCCAAAATCCAGGAGGTATTCCGGAAGCTCCGCCCTGATCACCACACAGAGACATTGTTAGGATACAGACACAATACTGAACGTGGCCGAGCACAACGACTGAGGAAGAAACTGTCCTTGTTGTCATTGGGACTCAAACCTTCACCCTCCTAACTGGCCTGTTCTGATTGGTGGACACTGTGATGGGGTCAGATCATTCCGTGACATCACCGCCACACAATGAACTGAGAATCCAGCACTTATATGGCCACTAGGGGGAGCTGAGCGCCATATATAACGAGTCCTGAGCTCCTCTGCGCCATCTAGTGGCCATAATGTGGTATTTTGTCCTAATATGACATTCCACTTGATTAGGAAATACACGAATAATGTCAGTTTTCGCCTTTATTGGCGCGGAACGAGAGCGCAGAGACTTGCGGGGGAACGGCTCTGCGAATTGGACCATTTAAATCTCAGCGGAGTTCTATGATGATTATTATTATATTGCGAGATTTCTGGACTATACATTGTACTGACGTCAGGATGCATCTGATTGGATGTCTCTGATTTGATGTATGTGATTGGATGTCTCTGATTGGATGTATCTGATTGGATGTCTCTGATTGGATGTCTCTGATTGGACGTCTCTGATTGGACGTCTCTGATTGGACGTCTCTGATTGGACGTCTCTGATTGGACGTCTCTGATTGACGTCTCTGATTGGACGTCTCTGATTGGATGTCTGTGATTGGATGTCTGTGATTGGATGTCTGTGATTGGATGTATCTGATTGGATGTATGTGATTGGATGTATGTGATTGGATGTCTCTGATTGGACGTCTCTGATTGGACGTCTCTGATTGGACGTCTCTGATTGGACGTCTCTGATTGGACGTCTCTGATTGGACGTCTCTGATTGGACGTCTCTGATTGGACGTCTCTGATTGGACGTCTCTGATTGGACGTCTCTGATTGGACGTCTCTGATTGGACGTCTCTGATTGGACGTCTCTGATTGGACGTCTCTGATTGGACGTCTCTGATTGGACGTCTCTGATTGGACGTCTCTGATTGGACGTCTCTGATTGGACGTCTCTGATTGGACGTCTCTGATTGGACGTCTCTGATTGGACGTCTCTGATTGGACGTCTCTGATTGGACGTCTCTGATTGGACGTCTCTGATTGGACGTCTCTGATTGGACGTCTCTGATTGGACGTCTCTGATTGGACGTCTCTGATTGGACGTCTCTGATTGGACGTCTCTGATTGGACGTCTCTGATTGGACGTCTCTGATTGGACGTCTCTGATTGGACGTCTCTGATTGGACGTCTCTGATTGGACGTCTCTGATTGGACGTCTCTGATTGGACGTCTCTGATTGGACGTCTCTGATTGGACGTCTCTGATTGGACGTCTCTGATTGGACGTCTCTGATTGGACGTCTCTGATTGGACGTCTCTGATTGGACGTCTCTGATTGGACGTCTCTGATTGGACGTCTCTGATTGGACGTCTCTGATTGGATGTCTCTGATTGGATGTCTGTGATTGGATGTCTCCGATTGGACGTCTCTGATTGGACGTCTCTGATTGGACGTCTCTGATCCCAGTGTGATTTTTGCATTTATTCTCAGATTACCTTTCACCTGCCATCAGACTCCTCCCCCTGCAATACGTCACTATCGTGCTATACACCTACAATATGTGGTGTCAGTGGTGCCGGAATTCTCGTGACTCGGCACTTTCATTGCTGACGTGTGAACACATAACATGGACACTCAATGGTGGCTCACTTCAGCAGACGCCGGCGGTCCTTCTGGTTGGTCAGTCCCGTTAGCCCCGCCTCCATCAGCTCACTGGCGTGTTTCTTTATCAGCAAACGTTCCAACTCCATCAGAACCAGAGTGTCCGTCTGTGAATGTAAGTCGGCGGTTCGGGTGAGTAAAACTTTATTAGCAGCTAGACAAAAACGAACAGTTAACCCTTGCAGAGTGACGGTAGCCCCAATGCATGGGTTAGGAACACCTTTGTCCGGAGTTCTTTTTTAATAATATGAAACATCCTTATACCCAGTCCTTATATCCGTATACCCAGTCCTTAT